GCACCTATTCGTGTTGTGTTTTTTTTTTTTTTTTTTTTTTTTTTTTTTTTTTTTCCCGTGTGTGAGAATTTGGTAATTTTGTTACCGCATGCAATCATTTATGTAAATGAGTCATGTGACCATGTGGTAACCTTTAGTGAATTGACTCCAATATTGGCAATAATGCTATGGGATGTAACAAGTAAGGTAAAAATACATACAGTTGTAATTGTTTTGAGATTCATGCCCCCAAGACGTTTTAGGGTACATGAAGAAACTTGTAGAAACACAGGAGGTTGTGTGTAGGGTTTATCACTCAACACCACCTGTTTTAGAAGGAGCCTATATTGGGGACATGTGGCTTCTTGGGTTTAAAAAAAAAAAAAAAAAAAAAATCCACCATTTCCATGTTGGGTAGGTTTTAAGTCTTTTTTTTTTTTTTGGGGGGGGGGCTGTACTGTGCAGGTGTGACTACAGGTTTGATTGAGATGAATAGGATAGTCACAGTGACAGAAAAATGAATATAACACTGCCACGCGTGGTAGAGAGTCAGGAAATGAATAGTGGGTCCATACTACATTGGAGGTGTGGGTTTATTTTTTTTCACATATGGATATGTAGGTTCTCCTATGGTCTCTCTGCATGTAATGAACTGCAGGTGGCATTTCCAAATCAAAGTAGTTTATGGAAAAAGAGTCAAGTAAAGTATTTGCAGGATGAGCAATTATGTCACTTCTTTCAAATGTGCATCACTATTGTGTATGTAACGGGCGGTTATGGTTACCTGCCATACATGTAATAGGCATGAATGCCCCTGTGTACAGTATAAATCCTTGCAGGGAAACTGCTTTCTTTCCACACATGGAAGCTGCACGCTTCATATACTGCATGTCTTTTGGAAAATACCGTATAGTCCCTCTAAAGAAGAAAATTCTAATTCTGTATTAAGGGATATAAATAACACAAGTTAAGTCAGGCAGGTGAATGAGTATTAGGGATGGTCTGTTTAATTCTCTTTTTAGATTGGCAATCCGACTAGTTTGGTAAAACGTATACATCTTTTGCTCGAATGATTTAAATTTGCAGTAAATCTTTGTTTCCAGAGGAGCAGAAAGATGAAATTTCATGGTAGGATGAGCCGTGCTCATGGCTGTGTTTATGTGCACAGTTGCGGCATGATGGAAATTTCACAATCATGAGAGATCCATGTGAAAAGGGGGCTTTTGTTGGGTAACTCAAACTGCTGGAAGCTCTCAGCAGCGCCTCTGCTGTACATGGAAGGGAGCTCGAAGGTGGCTGAAAAAATTCTTCAAGTGTTATTGAACGATAAAATTTATGCCATTTAGCAGCTGCCTTCAATATTTACTTTGTGTGTTGCTGCTGGTGCTGCTTCCTTAACATCTTACCTTTCTTCATTGTTGAGTCAGCCAAAAAAATTGCTGCCCCAGGTTCCCAGTTTTTGGGTGGCTCTGTTGTCTTCCAGGGTCCTGTGGAGCCACCCTTACAAGCGTGCATCTGGGAGAAAAACTATAAGAGATGCTATGACATTGTGCTGACGTGCGCAGACACCCAGGGAGGAATACAGTGCATGCATGCGCAGTGGAATGGGACACGTGTTAAGGAGGGAGAATGCAGCCAGAGAGAACTATATGGGCATGCATGCGCAGTGAAATTATGGGACATGTAGTGCCAATGAGGAGGAATGCAGCCAGAGAGAACTATATGAGCATGCATGCGCAGTGAAATTATGGGACATGTAGTGCCAATGAGGAGGAATGCAGCCAGAGAGAACTGTATGGGCATGCATGAGTAGTGGAATTATGGGACACGTGTGGAGGAGGGAGAATGCAACCAGAGAGAACTATATGGGCATGCATGCACAGTGGAATTATGGGACATGTAGTGCCAAGGAGGGGGAACACAGCTAGAGAGGACCAGATGGACATTCATGCGCAGTGGAATTATGGGACATGTAGTGCCAGGGAAGAGTAGGCAGGCATGTATGCATAGTGGCAGTGGAGCTATGGGACATGTAGTTGCAAGGAGAGGGAACAAAGCCAGGGAATCGTAGATGGGCACGTATGTGCGTGCATAGGAAAAATTATGGGACGTGTAGTCCTGAAGGGGAGTCATAGGCACGGGTGAAATTATGGGACATGTAGTTCCATGGAGAGGAAATGCAGCCAGGGAGGAATAGATGGGTCCACACATACTCTGTTGCAGTAGAATTTGAGACCTGTAGTCCCAAGGAAGGGGAATGCGCCTAGGGAGGGATAGATGGAGCATGCATTCCATGGGAAGGGAACATGGGAACCTTCTATGAACTCTGGAGTGCATGCACTTTGGAAGTTTGGGGAAGCGGTGCATGCAAACCAGGAGGCTTCCGTGGTAAAGTAACTAGATGCAAATGTATTTCTGGACTTTTCTTAAAGCATTTATGTTCCTCTAGATAAATGTAACGAATATAAAAAATGTGGGGCTTTACCAATAGTTTTAAGAAGGAAAAAGTTCTGTTGAAGTGGTATGGCAGTTCTGCCCCATTAACCTTTTGGCTGCCAGTCAGGACAGCTGTCTCTTCTGGCCACAGCCAGGAAAGGTGGCAGGTGTGCAACTAATTGAATGGAAACAATTTGCACCCTCACTGTTCAAATTATTTATACATGTGTTGTGTTTCCAGACAGGTTTTTTTTTTTTTTTTCTTTTGGCCAGACTGTTCGTTTGTTTGTTTTTATTGCCATGAAAGTAGGAATATCAGTTGTTGCAGGGAAAACTGGTTCAAATAAACATTAGCTGCTGTTTTAAAGCTACACTCCAGTGAAATGTAAGACAATTTTCTCGCTCAGGAGAGACGGTTTGCTTGCTGACCGCACAAGAGGGACCATTGCAGCGTAGCATTATGCGTGTTGAATGGCACAATGATAAACATGCTGAATCTACACCGTGTGGTGTAAAAAGTCAGATGAAAGCAAACGTGTGCTTTGCCCATACTGGGAAATTTTAAGAGCGCATTTGATTTAAAAGTGCATAAGAATGGTTACCTTCAGTGCAAACTGTATGCCAGCATGTCCCCTATATCTAGAGATATGAAAAGTTGGCGTTTCATCAAATCTTTACTTTTTATGTGAAAGATGAGGCTAGCCCTATCCCTCTCTTGCCTCCTATACCTTGATAGTTGTCATTCATGCTGCCCACCATCGCAAAAAATAGGAATTAGTGGGGCCAAGCTTGAGTTTTATGCATTGTTCAGACAACGCAAATTAAGGTAAAAACGTCTAAATGTCTAGGTGCTGTGCCGGCATACAGACAGAAAAGCCATCCCTGGAGTGGTCAGAGGCTCTATTCCCATGTAAGCGGACAGCAAGCGGCGGCCATTCATTGGTATGGGTGGCTGCACCATTGTTGGTTGCACACTGTACATGCAGCTCTTCTCCACCAGCAAGAATCCACAGACAGCCATGAATGGCCGTGTAGAAGTGGAAAACCCAGTCACTCCTGCGCTGGGAGATGGACTCCATGTCATTAAGACCACATATGGAAATACTTGGGATATGCACGCCTTGCTGCCCTCAAGAACCGGGGGAGTCCAAAGTACTGAATAGAGAAAAACAAACAGGGCGCACCGGCCTAGTGCATTACCTTAAAAGTGTTTAATAAATGTAAATAAGTATTATACTCACAAATGATCAATAAATAATAAAAAGGGCTATTTCAGGACCTGAGCCCTGTCACATCTGTGAACATACAGGGGGCAGGGGAGAAATTCACATTTAGGCAAGAATTGCGGAATTGTTCATTTGCAGCACATAAAATAAAATAATCTATTTGTAAGAGAGGGAGGAGGTAGAGCAGTACAACATGCCCTTTAGGGTGTAGGTCCACTTTTTTTAAGTTTGTGTGTTTTTTTTTTTTTTTTTTTTCCCAGCATGTTGGTGTGAACTGTTGTCATGGATTTTCAGTTGTAGATGAGCTGAGCGCATGTGGTGTGAATGGACCCTTTTATATACAATTTTTTGTTATTTAGGATTTAAAGTGTGCTAACAATTTGCACATCACTTTACAAATTAAAGGGAAGCAGTACATCTACAATACAGTTCAGGACAGGGGGGGATTAGGAGGGCCCTGTTCTTGAGAGCTTCAATTTAAGAGGGAGGGGCAAGTGAAACAAAAGTTGTTGTGTGTGGGGTTTGTTTTTTGTTTTTTTTCAATGGTTTGTGTTTTGCCATATGGGCATCTCCGCCTCAGCATACCATAATGTTTAAAAATTATATAATGCATATCTTTAGGTTTTTTTTTTTTTTTTTTTTTCCCCCAAGACTTTACAATTATTATTTGTTGAAAATTAGATATCCCAAAATCTATAATCCAATACTTATGGAGAGGTTGTTGCTGGGAAAGCAGTGAATGGCCTCCCTGTGCTGCAGTGTGCTATTTTCAGCCTGGTAAGTAATTACGGATGCTTGTGGAGCTGCCTGTGACGTTCACCTTGAGCTGTCCTTCTCACATGGTTCATTCAGCTCGTGCTGGCTCCGCCTCCCGCTGTCAGCTCGCTGGCCGTACTGCTCGGGGATGCTGCTACGTGGACATTTTGTTATGTAAATTTTCAGCCTGTGAATCGGAAAATGTCTCTGTGCAACCATCAGCACGGTACAAAATAGTGTTCAGGCTTGTTCTTAAACCCGGATGTCCCTCGCTAATGTAACGGGAGGCTTTAATAAAGAAGGTATTCACATGGCGCTGGGCAGATTTAATTCAGCTTTTCCACACGCTTAAACAATAGGATTAAACTTGCTAGGAGTCCTGAGATGAATGTGCTGCCATTTTGTCCCATAGATTAAAGCAGGGCTTAAAATTTCAAGTCCTGAGCTACTAGCCAGGCCTTCAGAGTTACTCACCACCAACAAACCTGTACACACACACGTGTGTATATGTGTATATATGTATGTAACGTGTGTATGTATGTATATATATATTACACACACAGAGAAATGTACAGACACATGTATACACACAGGCATGTACAGATGCGCATGCACACAGGTACATGTACATACACAGAAATACACACACACAGACATATGTACATACACCCACACGTATATGCGCGCACACACATGTACATGCACGCAGACACACAAACGTGCACACACCTTGTTAAGCGCATGTTTCTCTCCCCTGAAGCCACCACAGCCCTATAAAAAGTTGCAGTACTTTGTTGTTCACTCACAGATCCGGGTACTGCACTCTAGGGGGAGGCAGGGAGCACACAGCACACACTCCTTCCTTTGCTTTCCCTGCGCTCAGCTATTGAGCAGTCTGACAGCTCCCAATGCCAATGACAGATCCGGCCTGAGCTCCGAGCCTGCTCAGCAAGACAGCCCTGGGGGACACACTCGCCCCCACCATAATTTCTGCTCGCCATTGGCGAGCAGGCGAGTGGAAATTGCAAGGCCTGGATTAAAGCATACCTGTCATTTCCGCAGTGTAGGCAGCTATTTTGAGTGTTAAACGAATAACTGGGCCTCCCCTTATCACCCAAATCTGATTTTTCTTGTGTAACCTCCTTCAGGGTTGCTTGCTTCTGCTAACTTTGACCTCTCGGCATGACCTGTGTGAGTTTATTTCCACATGTTGGTACTAAGAATTGCTATGGTTTCCCAACCACGACTAACAAGATAAAAATGGATGCTTGAAAAGATGGAGCAGATTTGGGAAGTAAATATTTAAAGTGATATTAAGGCTTGTTTTGTTATTTAAAAAAAAAAACACAAAAAAAAACCTTATACTTATCTGCTCTGTGCAGTAGTTTTGCACAGAGCAGCCCCGGTCCTACTTTTCTATGGTCTCCTGCCAGTGCTCCAGATCCCTCCCTCCTGCCTATTGCCTATGGGGGCACCTGAGCAGGCTAGCTCACGAGCTTCTGCTCTGTGTCAATTCATACATGGAGGGCAGTGCTGCCCCGTCCCTGCTATCTCCTCATTGGCTCACTGGCGATTATTGACAATGGCTACCACCAATGAGGAGAGAGAGACCTTGGAGAAATGAGGCTTTTGTGCACATTGCTGGATCGGGATGGGGCTCAGGCAAGTTTTAGGGCGGTAAAAAAACCTTGAGCCTTTACAAGCACTTTAAAGGGTTTGTTCACCTTTTACAAAAAAAAAAAAAAACTGCTTATGCACATAAGGAGCACCGAACTAGGCACCTTTGATCAAAGTTCACTCATGACCTTGCTATCTTCTGAAACCTGGCCGAAAAAACTCCCAGAAGTCACATCACATCCAGCCTTATTGCTAAGACGTTGTTATGACACGCAGCGGATTCAAACCGCTTTGCATGCTCTTTCCCCTGTCGTATTGCTGAGTTCAGCAATGCTGTGACAGAGTAGGTAGTGAACCACATATGGGGGGGGGGGGGGCGTGGAGAGCCCACCCCTGTGATGGGTGCAGGTGAGCAATAATGGCTTGGAGTATCTAAAGCTGGATATACACTATAAGAAAATTGGGCGAACAATCGTATGGTTTTCTTCGATGTTTCACAGATTGAACCTGAAGATGGTACGAATTGTCTGAAAATTCTCAAACCTCCAAAGGCTTTTTTAGTTTGACGTAGAAACATTGTAGCGTAAATTGTTTCTGATATGTATCTGTGTCTTTCGTTTCCAACTTTTTCTTACAAACTCTGTTTCTTTACAAAAATAGTACACATTAAAAGAAAATTGTTAGCGCTGTGCACGTATGAGAAATATTTTGGGGTTTTGTCCCTCCGGAAAATTTTAATTTAGAAAGTCTGAATCGAATGTCAAAAGTTGTGTACACACTATATGAATATCGAACGATCGTTCCTCATATGAAAGGTTTTGTCCGATGTATTTATTTTTTTTTTTCCCTCATAGTGTGTACCCCACTTTACTACAAGGTAGGATGAGATGTCATCTCGGAGTTTTTATAGCCAGGCTTCGAGAGTCACAGTATGTAGACTGCCTATAGCAAGGGCATTATTCAACTTTAGTCAAAAATGCAGTTTTTTTTTTTTTTTTTTCTACAGGTGCTTTGTACCTGCATAAGCAGTTTATTGGTAAACGCGAACTAACCCTTTAAATCTGATTGGAGGATGCACTATTTCAGTGCAAAAATGTATGCATATACTTTCCCATGTATATTAGGTCGGGGTTTCCCCTTAGGACCTATGCTGCGCAGTTCTGAGGATGTCACTAGTTAGATGTGTTAGGTTTCCTTTGGGGGCGCATATTGCTTTTAAAATTCATCTATTATCAAAAAAGTCCAGGGAGCTGCCAATATTGGCCGTCTAGTGTTACTTGGCTCTATCCAGACTGTTTAATCCACAGCCTCAGCATGACAGCTAAGAAACTAACCCATGGAAGACTGAGAATGTTAAACCAGAGAAATCTGATGGCTTTCTCCATCCAGACTAAACATCTTGGATGTGAGGAATCTGCTATGAGTGTTTGCGGGTGCTTGAATACCTGAACAGTGACTCTGGTAGGATGCAGTCACTGTTCGGACCCGATGGTTTTCCACCTGGCTTGATTTTTAGTTTCAGACTCACTCACTCAGGCAGGGCCCACCCTTGGCTGGAGAAAAACTATAAGAGATGCTATGACATTGAGCTGATGTGCGCAGACACCCAGGGAGGAATACAGTGCATGCATGCGCAGTGGAATGGGACACGTGTTAAGGAGGGAGAATGCAGCCAGAGAGAACTATATGGGCATGCATGCGCAGTGAATTATGGGACATGTAGTGCCAATGAGGAGAATGCAGCCAGAGAGAACTATATGGGCATGCATGCGCAGTGAAATTATGGGGGACATGTAGTGCCAATGAGGAGGAATGCAGCCAGAGAGAACTGTATGGGCATGCATGAGTAGTGGGAATTATGGGACACGTGTGGAGGAGGGAGAATGCAACCAGAGAGAACTATATGGGCATGCATGCACAGTGGAATTATGGGACATGTAGTGCCAAGGAGGGGGAACACAGCTAGAGAGGACCAGATGGACTGGACATGTAGTGCCAGGGAAGAGTAGGCAGGCATGTATGCATAGTGGCAGTGGAGCTATGGGACATGTAGTTGCAAGGAGAGGGAACAAAGCCAGGGAATCGTAGATGGGCACGTATGTGCGTGCATAGGAAAAATTTATGGGACGTGTAGTCCTGAAGGGAGTCATAGGCACGGGTGAAATTATGGGACATGTTTTCCATGGAGAGGAAATGCAGCCCAGGGAGGAATAGATGGGTCCACACATACTCTGTTGCAGTAGAATTTGAGACCTGTAGTCCCAAGGAAGGGGAATGCGCCTAGGAGGGATAGATGGAGCATGCATTCCATGGGAAGGGAACATGGGAACCTTCTATGAACTCTGGAGTGCATGCACTTTGGAAGTTTGGGGAAGCGGTTGCATGCAAACCAGGAGGCTTCCGTGGTAAAGTAACTAGATGCAAATGTATTTCTGGACTTTTCTTAAAGCATTTATGTTCCTCTAGATAAATGAACGAATATAAAAAATGTGGGGCTTTACCAATAGTTTTTAAGAAGGAAAAAAGTTCTGTTGAAGTGGTATGGCAGTTCTGCCCCATTAACCTTTTGCTGCCAGTCAGGACAGCTGTCTCCTCTGCCACAGCCAGGAAAGGTGGCAGGTGTGCAACCCCTAATTGAATGGAAACAATTTTGCACCCTCACTGTTCAAATTATTTATACATGGTTGTGTTTCCAGACAGGTTTTTTTTTCTTTTGGCCAGACTGTTCGTTTGTTTGTTTTTTATTGCCATGAAAGTAGGAATATCAGTTGTTGCAGGGAAAACTGGTTCAAATAAACATTACTGCTGTTTTAAAAGCTACACTCCAGTGACTCTGGTAGGATGCAGTCACTGTTCGGCCGATGGTTTTTCCACCTGGCTTGATTTTTAGTTTCAGACTCACTCAGGCAGGGCCACCCTTGGCTTGACATTCAGCAGGAATCAGCAGTAATTGGGGTCGTGTACTGCCAGCTTAAATCCCAAGGCCACTTTTATTAGGTACACCTTGCTAGTACTGGTTTGGACCCCTTTTGCCCTTAATTCTTCATGGCATAGATTTACCAAGATGTTGGAAACATTTCTCAAATTTTGGTCCATATTGACATGATAAATCTTCAGCAACTGTGTGATGCTGCCTGCTGCACATCCATGAACCATTGATACAAGGCATGATGGATCCATTCTTTCATATTTCAAATTTGACCCTACCATCTGAATGTAGCAGCTGAAAACGAGACCTGCATGGCACCTGCAATCTATGGATTGCTGGTGCAAAGCTTTCCAAGCTCCTGCAAACAAAAATTTAAAAAATGCACTTTTTTATTTTTTTTTCTTGCGTGTAGAAAATGTGCATTTATTATTTTTGTGCAAAAGTTGACCTTATCCTTTAAAAGTAATGCTGCATGTCATGTGTAGTCAGTATTCAGCGCCCTTTTAAGCCAAACTCCATCCTGAGAACTCCAGCTTGTATGGCTTCTATTTACCGGCACACTTCCATGCATTCTTTTCTTCTGGGTTTCTTCAGGTCTTTTACATTACAAGTCCTCTGCAACCTTTTTTTTTTTTTTTTTTTTTCTTCTGACTGCTGGTAGATCATAAATGCTGCAGAGAGCAGCACTATGTAAAGGCATGATGACCCAGACCCGCAGGAAGTAAATGACACTGGGTTTATGCAGTCTAAATGAGGCGTGGCATTGGATTGCTGAGTCTGCAGGGGAGAGCTCTGGAAAGGAGGAGAATATAGGTGCAGCTCAGGGGCGGACTGACCATTTGGAAACTCGGGCACTGCCCGAGGGCCCGGGGTCAGTAGGGGGCCCCATGAGATGCCCCTGGTACCTTTTTCATAGGCTTTTTTGAGTTGGGGCAAGGACACGGGCCCCATGATCCCCTATTGCCTGGGGCCCCATGAGTTGTCAGTCCGCCCCTGGTTCAGCTACTTTATTTTTAAGAGTTGTTGAGAATTCATTTTGTGTTTTTGCCCAAGCTGGAATTGGCCTTTTTCCATAGCTAAGCATGTAGTGCATAGCTGCATTTTTGACTAGCGATGTCAGATGCAGTTGATCTATGACTCGCTGTACTTTCATGGACCAACTTGAGATTTATTAAGTCCTTTCTAGGAAAGTTCAAACTTGGCTAATGCTGTAGCAATGTCCTCCTTTTTTTTTTTTTTTTTTTTTTTTTTTAATTTAAAGAAGCCCTGTAACTTGTTGAATGGTGTCTAATTTGTTGGCTGTGTATAAGGAATGACCTTCGCATACATAATATAGGACTCTTGTCTCAAGGCTTCTAATCTTCTACTACAATGGCCCTCTGTATTAAAAACAGCCGTGTGCTGCACGGAGCAGAGTTAATAAGGATAATCTGATTATCATTCTTTGAAATACGATTCCTGCTCAGAAATTGTTCCCTTCAAGTTTGATTTAACATTTCCACTCA